AGCGGATAAAGGCTAAAACAATAGACTAAACAAGGCTACACAATACTCAAAGGCGATTACATGAAACAACGCTGACAAACTTAATTTACATTTTGACAGCACGAAAAAATACAAACTAATAAATACAGAACTGATCTATCGAGACGAGAACTATTTACACTAATTACAATTAACAAAGACGAACGACAGAACTGATAAAAAAAAATAACTCTCGTGGCTTCACTCAAGTTTCTTAGTATGTAGTTTGAGACCGGTTTTTGAGACGGTCAAATCCGTTGTACGTCATAGTTTGAAGCCTTTCAAAGATTTGTATGGCCACCTTGATCCTTCCTCAATAGCAATGACCAAACGCGCTCTGACGTGCTCCAACGGTACAAACGTTTTATGCATTTTAAGAAGCAGTGTTGGAGACCCTTTTACGGAGTGAAAAGGCCCATTGTTGCGTTTAGTGTGTTCCGTTACATAGCGTTACTACTGCAAGGACATTTGTTTTATGTACTCAATCGTGTTGTAAATCTAGTTTCCAAAGTGAAGGGAAATTGACTTATCGCGAGTGCTTTGTGGTAAATCTTCTATGTTGATCATTGAATGAAGAATAGTTTAATTAGAGCAATGAAAAGAGTCACTTGATCCATGAATACCTCTACCTTGCGTGAGGGGTTACGCCGGAAAGCTGGAAATCAAAAGGCAGTCGACCGTTGAAGGGTGTTGATAGGCCTGTGCGTCTCCTACCATTCGCTAGCGCTTTTAAAACTTCTACGTTTAGCTCTTATTAGCAAATCTCTTGCTGACTTTCCTTTGCGATGTGATAATAAGGGTCAGTTTTGAGGTGTCATTTCCCCATCTGTATGTTCTTGCAATTGAAGTTTGGCAAAGCCTGATGAGATTGTGTTACAAAAGGCAATATTTTCTTCTCTGCACGCGCTATGCCCATTACAATTCACGTATATTCACGCTGTCTCGCTGCCACCAAAGAAGTTCACTCCAACACGTCAAGATGCAAATAACTTATTTGTGTTTTACGACCATGATGCAACGCAATCAGAGTGCGCACACAGCCTGGTGTATACTCAAGTGTGGCCTAACCTGTATGAGGTCATAATTTGCGTTACATGAAGTACTTTTGGAATTTTTGTGCGCTCTTCTATAGGTGTCTATGTGCTAAAGCACTAGAGACCAAAAACTCATCTCTTTGCGACAAAATCCGCTGACCACTACATGATTATCGATCTCGCTGCGGCCTCGCTGCATTTTCCCTTAAATTGTTCCCGAGACCATTTCCTGGCTCTTGCGAAGAGCAAGCGTTACGAAGTTGGTGAACTCACTTTTGACAGCTTCACGATAAAATCCGAATCGACTAATTGTTTCACTTGCCATCTGACGAACATATTGTCACTCAATGGGACGATAAACTGAAATTATCGAGAATATATACAAATGATAAAATGAAAAAGGTATCAGTTTTGCTGAACAGCTTGAAATCATTTGGACCTTACAGGATTTCTTAAGAAGGACGATATAAAACGCATTCTACGCGATACAGATTTCGACATGAGCTCTTATTTCGCTATCCCAACTTAAATATAGAGGCAAGACCGATACAACGTAGATAAGTTTTAAGACGGAGCACTATAGTTCGGCTGGCCAAACCAGTCTTCTTCAGGTGCACCTGAAGAAGGCTGGTTTGACCAGCCGAAATACAGTGCTCCGTCTTAAAACGTATCTACGTTGTATCGGTCTTGCCTCTATATTTATATTCGTTATTTTGGGCCGATTAGATCACTGTTGATCTAACGTACAAGACTTGGATTATCGTCCACGGTTGCTTGCTGAACATTTCACAGTAATCCCAACTTACCCTAATTTCCTTTCCTTTGTAGATCAGACGCTGTTTGTCAGGTATGGGACCAAGCTTTTCCTGAATGTAAATTTTCAGTTCTTGAATGATCATATTAGGATTATACTCAAGCACGGTACTATCCCCTCCTAACATTACCACTGAGATGGTCTGGTCAATATCCTCCTGGATCACTTCCTCTTTCCCAGTTAAGCAACGTGGAGCCTCTGGGAAAAGCCTTTGAAGAGTCTTCACAAACTCACAATAGTTCGGGTTATCAATGGCGACGTGTTGAAGACACTGTGAGCATTTGTTTTCCTCTTTCACCACTCGAGTCACACACTGCAAAGAGGTGAATTGAATGATACTATGCTCGTAAACATGCTCTCGACTTAAATCAGTCGCTTACAATATTTTAGACAAAAACAGAAAACTTTGAAGACAATCGCAAACAATCAACACAAACTAGGTCCATACAGGCGAGGACTCTGAGGTGAGTTTCCAAAAAAAACTGTGGTGCTACGTCGGTTGGGGTTTTACCAGATAAGTTGGTTTTATCGATCGTGTTGATAATGTAAACTGGCCACCGCAAAGAGTTTCTAAAGCTCCGCTCTGACGAAGGGCTAACGATAGAAGCGTCGGCGTCAGCTTTAAAAACTCTTTACGAACCCATCTCTGTTGTGTTTGAAGCACACACGAAACAATGAGCCACTCCGTTAGTAGGTGGGAGAGAAAAGATACCTCAGGAACTACTGTGATACCTGTCCAGTCCAACAATTATTTACCACATTCTTCAAGGATAGAGAAAGAATGTTAGGTAAGGGAGACTTACTCCATCCTTGAATCTTCTCCCGAAACCTCATAGTTACTACTGCACAAAAATGCAATGTATCTGTCTCTATCAAAACAAATAAATATTTTCTAGATCTTTGACTTACCCTTAAACAGTGTAGGGCAGCGTGGTTGCATTCGTCAATCAAAGTTTTCGTCGGAAACTCTCGTCGAAGCTTCTTTTGTTTACACAGCTCGCAAAACATCTTGAAAGTCTGCTCACTTGTTTCAGTACTGAGGCAATAAAGCGGAGGAAGTTTCCAGGCCTAACGAAAAAAATTAATCCTCATTGTTCATGTTCTGGCCTGGTATTGCATGATCAGTTTAGGGTAGACGTTGTGATGTCTTCTAGTTGTGTGCTGAAACAATGTACCAAATATGCCGATGAGCCTCTAAAGGTGAAAATTGTCAATGTTAGTCAAGTCGTATATCAGAATAGAATTCTGCATTCATTTTCATAGAAGACCATGGATATAATTTATAGGACGAATTACACAAAAGAATTGCGCTTGCAACACACGATACGACCAGAAAAAAACTCTAGAAAAGAAAAAAAACAGGACAAGCACCAAGATGCCGGGCTTGTAGAAAAAAACAGGTAAAGTTACCGTCACCGAAGGACTTTATGTCCCTTATGAACCGAATTTCGTTACAGAAACAATGTTTTATTTTTGTCCGAAGCAACAATGCATAAACAAGATACCACCTTGAAACAATTTAAAATCAACGAATAGAATCAGAGCTGATAGTTCATTTACTGACATCACAATAGCAGCTTTCAAAGAAAATGGTTTGCCAATTTGCAATTCTGTTGACTGATAATAAATCTTGAGATCGATGTTTGAATTTTTTCTTCTTGTTTTTTTCTTCTTGCAAAGAAAAATATTATTTCGTAATAACAAGAAATTAACATTTACAAACTTTAGGCGATTACAATGTGAAATTTGTCATCAGCTACTTAATTATTATCAGGTCAAAATAAAAAAAAGTTCATTTTTTACGATTAAAGTTCTATTTTTGGACCTACGACAATTTTCCGGAACCGCGACATTTTACCTGCGACCCGCGACTCGTGACCCGCGACCCGCGACCCGCGACTCGCGACACGTGACAATTATACTCTCTCCAAAATGGATAGCTTACAATATGATTCTTCAGTTTTAAAAACCCATTGCCTGTCGTTTTCTAGTTTTACTTAGCAATTTGCAGAGAAAAAACCGCAAGTATTGCTCGTGCACTGGCTCGCTCCCGAAATTATGATATTACCTTAAGGTCCTTGACTACAGACGTCGATTGCAATCGCTTTTCGGGCTATTTTTAGCCATGATAGAAAACTCAACACACTTTAATTTGATTCTGTCACAAATAAATTTGATGTCTGCCATTTTGTATTATCATGGCCACACCGATGTATCAGGTAATGAAGCATCCACGATGCCCAAGCTTATTCCACCACTACTTGACTGATTTTCATTGATTGTTTAAAGAGCGGATACCCTCGCATTAATAATGAATAGAATATGAAAGAAAGCCTATTTCATTCAGCAACTTTCCGCGACAGCTCGCTGTTGATTTTCAACTCAGCCAGATTAGCAAAGCGTTACAAACGGCTTGATTCATATTTGCCCGACAACTCAAAAAAGACAATTAAAATTTCTGTAACGCTTACTGTTTCCAATGGAGAGAACCGCTATTGAACCTGATTGAATTTTTTTTTTTTTTTTTAGTTTATGATGTAACGGGATAAATGTACTTCTCGGAACTTTGGGTCACGCATCTTTCCTCCCTTGACAGAGAAAAGTCAAATGAAGCTTTTAGAAGCAAAATAAGTTTAGCAACTAAATAAAAGAATGCATGTTACAAAGTGAGTCTACCGTTGCTGCAACACAATGGAGTGATGTCTCCTTATGTAGACAATGTAAGATTTTTTGCAGAAAATGTCATTCGCTTCCTCCCCCAAGCCTAATCAATGACCCCTTGAATCCAACACGCAGGCAATTTGATACACCTTTGTAAAATTTGATTGGTTTTATTTCATGATCCGCTCTCAAATGAAAATGGCAATATTTCGGTTATCGCCGCTGAATTTTCCGAAAACTCATCTTAATCCATCGTTTAAAACGTGTCCTTTGTTGGACTTTTCTCATCGTTGATTCACGAATTTTTCGTCCAAGTGAGGTAAGCAGATATTAGGTAAAACTGGTTGCTAAAGGTGTGATATCGTTATTCCATGAATCGCGTATCTTTTCACAAGCATAAACAAATGTTCCGCTTCACATGAATTTTCCCAGAGAAAATGGCTTGCAAAAGATATCAGTGTAAATTCCATATCTATATTGCAAAGGTTTTGAATGTCTGTGTTTTTCTCAGAACTCTTCCTCCATTAAAGTAGGTCTGCCATTTTAATTCCGTTGGAATTTCTCTCTGATTATTCGACCGCGCTTGCGTGTTGACAAAAACAGCTAGGAATCCGAGACAAAACAAATGATTGATATATCAAGAGTTACAACAGAGCTGTTTAATTGCCTTCAAATTGTCGCATAGTAATGATCAGTAAGCCGGGAATAAAACTGATTATGATCTTACAATTCTCTCATTTTACCACTGGTGTACAAATCAATGTGTTTGGTTAAATAACTATTGCCCTACTCATCGAAAGGGCTCAGACGCCATATTGCTGCACCTACATGAAGTACATTTCGAGTTAACAAAGGAGCAGATCGACCTCGTGTGAATTGAACCCTTTTATAGAACAAATGCTCTCTTTGCATCGAATGAAAATATCGAGCCGTGTTTGATGGAATGTTTGCATATGATACACCGTTAAACTGACTTTACCTCAATTTACCTGCCAAAAGACTTCTTTCGCTTCTTCTAAAGTAATACAATCAGTAAAGTAAGAATTTTGTGTGTAAATTTTGCTTTCGGTCTGGATTCCATCCACCATTAACACATAAACTTGCTTCTGAAGGAGCAGCTTCTGTCCGCCATTTTGCCTTGTACTAAAAACCGTTCATGATTATCAAGCTCTAAAGAACGAAATTTATACAATATAGCTTAACCGTTACTTGCCTAATCCAGCACGTTTCTTTAAGGGTATTCTGACGGTGAAAAAAGTGCTTTTAAATTAGTGATTGTCGTTGCAGATTGCAACTTTCCTTGCACATGGATTCATGTGAAAGTCATGCGCATAACTAACTGCGGCTGCACAAAGGATAAAGAAACTTCTCTGATTAGTTCCTCTCCGCCGACGAAATGAGAACGAAAAGTTATGATCACACGACTCACCTCTTTAACTGAGAGAAAAACTTAATCTCAGGTAGTTAAGAACGACAGGAGCGGTCGAGGAATGAAGCGTTCGCTGTTACGTCTTCACTCTGGCCCTTTCGGAAGTACGCCAGAAATTTGACGGTGACCCCTGCGAGCTTTAATAATAATAATAATAATGAGCTTTATTTAGCAGTCTGTTCTCCCAGGTGTCGTTATAAATCTCTCACAAATGTAATCACTTCGTTAATTTGCACAAATTAAAATCTGTATAAAATACACGGCGATTGATCATCGTTGAGTAATCTCGTCGAAATGAAGGTAATTATTTTGTTATGTTCAGAGGAACTTCATAACGACAAGACGACGGCACATTTTGCTTATGTAGATATGTTTGGCCTAACGTCTAGTACCAAATCATATTGATTTTCACGTTGACGTTTCTTTTCCATTTTTTCTGACATATTCGATTTATTTAGTCCCTCAAACCTCCACTTCTTTCAGTAAATAAAAATCAGAAAACAAACAAAATATTGACCGACGATGTGATGACCGACGCCTCAAAAGTCATCAAGGTACTTTTGAGGCGTCGGTCATCACACATGATGGAGGTATTTCCTTTGATTTCACTCAGTAATTGAAAAATTGGCTACGAGAAAATAAATCAGGAGATTAAATCTCAAAGTAACTACAAGCGCATCAATTTTATTAGGCGAAGATTTGTTATACTCTGGCATTTATTAATACTTCAAGATTTCTATCGGGTCTGATACTTTGGTCTGACATGGTATTTGTATGATTTACAGACAAGTTTTTTTTTTTCATTAGGTTTATATCTATCAAATAGTGTGGTAGTTAAAAGGCCGTTCTAAACTTATTCGCCGTCCCTACCCTTATCGATCTCTTTCCATGAATAGAAGCCTCACGTGAATTTTCTTTACTCACGAATCGAACGTTCGATCATCAAAGATTGTCCAAATGTTATTGTGAGTTCAATGACATGAATGTTATCTGACGCAAGCCAAGTTTCAAGTTAAAAACTTATAAGCTGACTGGTTTCTGTCGATCACAAAAGGAAGTCCAATTATTCTTCTGTCAGATTTCTCAGAAACGCTTTGGAAACTTTAGACGAGGTCAATATGTTAATCACCAAGCGAACTGATTGTTCTGATTATAATTGATTGAATACTGTCTGCAAACCTAAGGAAGTACATTTCAGTATTTTAGCATAGTTCCTTGAAATAAGCCTATTTCAAGGCTCAGGAATGAGTAATTTCTCGCGACAGAATTTATCTAGGGACACCCAATGTGGATTAATTCTCTGAAATTCTTTTCCATTGAAAGTCTTAAGGTCAAAGTCCCAACTAAATACAGAGTTCGGGAAATTTAAAACAAAGTCATTACTTTCTTGGAAAGTCAAATGAAGCATTAAGAGCTAACAAAGTACTATTCCCAGCTCGATAAAAGAATGTTTGTCATAAAGTGAATCTACATTGTTGCAACACAGTGGTGTGAGGTCTCTAGTAATGGATAGCATTAGTGTTTAAAGAATATACCATTCTTTTCCGCCCCCCCTGAACCTAACCAAGGTCGCCTGACACGAACACGCTGGCAACCTGATACACCTTTGTTAAATTTCAATTAGATTCACTTCAGGTGTAGTTTCATTTCATCAACCCTTGGTTCAGCCCTGCAACAGGGTCTATGAGGATGGCAGTTTCTCGGCTATCGCCGCTGAATTTTCTCAAAACCGATCTTAATCTATCTGTTAAAATGTGTGCCTTGTCTGGTCTCTCTCGTCGACAATTCACGAATTTCTCGTCTAAGTGAGGTAAGCAGATGTTGTTTAAAATCAGTACACAGCTAAAGGTGCGTAACCATTTTTCCATGCGTCGCATATCTTTCCTCTTGTACAAAGAAATGTTTAGTTTAACAAACAACTTTTACGGGGAAACTGGTTTGCAAAAGATATCAGCGAAAACCCCAAATCCATATTACAAATGTTTTCAATTTCCGCCTGAATTTAACACCTCTTCTCAGCAGTCGTAGTGCCACTCTTGTGAATTCCGTTGCGATTTCTCTTGATCGTTCTAACATGCTCGACTGGTCGAAGAAACCGATCGTGCCAGTCGTACCGACAAAAACAACAAGGAATTCGCAAGCATTCCTACGAGAGAAACCAAATGATTGCCTTCAGATTATTCAGCCGTGCTCGATCGAAGAAACCGATCGCGCCAATCGTATCGACAAAAACAGCTAGGAATTCGAGAGAAAACAAATGATTAGCATATCAACAGTTACAACATTACAACAAGTTATGATCAGTAAGCCGGGAATAAATATCTGATTTTCAAATACTCTGTTTTCTTCGAAAAAAATATCGAACCGAGTTTGATGGAATGTTTGCAAAGAGATTTACTCATGATACACTTATTTTACTTTAAGCTACCTGCCTGCGGGATTCTTCTTTTGCTTCTTCTTATGCAATAAAACCAAGCTAATTTGGCTTTCGTGTTGGATTTCTTTTCCACCAATAACGCATGAGCTATTTTGGAAGCAGTGCACTGAGAACCGCTCATGATTATCCAAAGAACGAATTTAACACAATTCAACGTAATAATTACTTGATTCTAAACCACAATCTTTTACAAGGGTATTCTGACAGTGATAATTCAGTATTTGTCGCTGCAGACAGCAACTTACCATAAACATCTACACTTAACCCATCTACATCTACATTTATTAGTCTTGCCAAGGGGGACCATCACGCAAGACATACCGATGAAGGCCGGAAATTTGATGCTGGCCCCTGAAAGCTTTCAGTTTCGCATTCTATCCATCGTTTCAAATCTCTGAAGAACGGAATTGCTTTGTCTTTAGTAAAATTTTCGCTCATATGATATTCTAAACCATCGAATGAGGGATTTACTATTCCACTATTATTTCACTTTTTAGTATTTTGATTTTAGTTTGCGAAATTCATCCTACGGCATTAGTTCTGCATCGTATAGATCGCATAAAGGGTACGCAAAAGACCAAAACAACATGAACGAAACCATTGATTTGTTATTTGTGACGAACAAGAAGCCTGTCGCGCTTAAAAGCTCGCTTCTTTAAAAGTCAAGCCTAAAAGACGAGAAAAAAATCACAGTTTGGATCGCTCAGTGCGGCCATTTTGTTGCTCCGTATTTTAGCCCTGTTCTACAGTATAATACCGTGGCATATTTTGTGCTTTCTCGTGACCTCATTTGGTGAAAATTACATAGTAGTGAAATAATAAGTTGCACTATTTTTTGCAATCTCAGAGCTTTCTGAACTCAGCGCAATTACTACTTTTCTAACTTCTAAGTTAAGTACCAAGTGCGACAAGCCTCACAGCCATTATTACAAAAAAAGTATTTAAGGCCAAGTGTCCCCTTTTCAACTTAACTGCAATGTTGAATCAAAGAGAAATAATTTGCCCTCGTTAATAAATGTTTGGACATTTCATCAGAGATTTCTTTCACTTCAAACTTTGTTGGTACATGCGTATCAAGAAAAGTGACTCAAATTTGATAACAATAGGCTTTGTTAGACAAGTGAAAAATAACCCTATATGGCCATTTTTGAACAATAGCGCAACAGCTTCAGAACACACGAGGGATTTGTCAAAGATTCCGATTAGCCTACGAGCGGGAAATTTAAACGCTCGGAAAGACTAGACTTTAGTTTTGAACTATGACGACTTCAGTTTAGAACTATGACAGTTTCTGGAGAAAGATTTATACGGAGAGAGGTGGTCTGAATGAGACACATAACGTATTTTGAATTCTCGATGTGTGCACTGCCACATTAGCGGTCAATTTTTTACTGGGGTAGACAATTGAGAGTTGACTCGACGAGACAAATTTACGCTACCCACTTCCCCGAAGCGGCTAAATCAGCGTTTAACTTTCCCTTGGGGTACTCCGGTGACAATTTATCTGTCGTGTGCAAATATGCGCTACCTACTCTTCCAAAATAGCTGAATTGTGATGCAAAAAAATTTTTTTTCCGATTAGTCACGAACTTTTTCGCGTCGCTCCGGCCAAAGTCCCTCAGCGCTACAAAGAACAAAAGGACTATTGTTTACTACTTAATGTGTGAAATTGAGCCGGAACAATAGACCATTTCTTGATACGTGTATATATTATAACATGTTTTTAAGTAAGCCCTTGAGATTTGTAAAGGTAAGGAAAACATGATTTATTGAATTATGATAAATGTTTTTCTTATTAATTTTTGGCACAAACTGAAATTAAATATTTTCCCGTATATTTCAAATTTAGATTATTCGGGCCCATGGCATACAGTAAGGACACATCCAACTACGCGAGGCTGTGCCGCCTTCTTGTTGACAAAGGATCCCAGGCCTTGAGAGACACATTTGATAAGATACATCCTCCATCAGATCTACAAACGATTTTGTCACAAGGGATTGTTCGAAGCAAACTTCAATCCCTTAAGAACAAAAAAATCATCAATCCCAAACAATGGGAAAATCTTTATCCTCCTGTACCTTCAGCGGTGTCATCAGTAAACTTTGATATTACGTTGCTTGCAGTTCTGCTGAGGAACATATGTAATTTGAGTTTTCCCCATATCGGTTCGGATGATCTTCCTCCCCCTGAAGATGAGAGCATTCAGGCTGACATAGTCAGACTGAGGTACTACAGGAATAATATCCATGCACATGCGGTGAAAGCTTCTATGGATGACACATCATTTGAATCCCTGTGGTTGGAAATAAGTGATGTACTTATGCGACTAGGAGGCAACAGTTACGAAGATGCAATTTACGAGCTGAAGAATAGTTGCATGGATCCCGAAATGGAGCACTACTACCAAATGATGCTAGAATCGTGGTCGAAAGACGACGAGAGCGTAAAAGAAAAACTTGACAAGATGGACGGTAACCGAACATTTTTGTTTTCACAACTGTTAGCTCTAATATTGAGCTGTAATTGTCCGGCAGAATTAATCCTTCATCTATGTTTGAATTTATCATTTATATCTTAATCCATATATGTGTTTATCTTTTTATCCTTTTGCATTATATATAATTATTTTAATGCCCATAAAGAAAATGTGTTGGTTATAAAAAAAACTACTTTGCTCCTAAGAGAATTAAATTCAAAGCTTATAGGTTATCATTGTCAGTTCACCAAAGTGAATAACCGGTTTCATGTGATATTCCTTACCACTATGAACTATTCGCTGATTTAATTATTCAGAAACGTTCGGACAAAAACTGGGACAGATAGAGGATCAGGTGAAAAATGTGTTGGGTATCTTGATGAATCGCAAGGAAGAAGAGGAAGGTTAGATCTCTGAGTTGAATGTTTGATGTTTTAACTAATCATTTATATCCTAGTCTATATATGTGTTTATCTTTTTATCTTTTTGCATTATATATAATTAATTTAATGAGTATTTTTGGCCATAAAGAAAATGTGTTGGTTACAAAAAAAAACTACGTAGCTTCTAAGAGAATTAAATTCAAAGCTTATAGGTTATCATTGTCTGTTCACTAAAGTGAATAACCGGTGTCATGTGATATGCCTTACCTCTAAGAACTATTCGCTGATTTAATTTTCAGAAACGTTAGGACAAAAACTGGGACAGATAGAGGATCAGTTGAAAAATTTGTTGGGCATCTTGATGAATCGCAATGAGGAAGAGGAAGGTTAGACCTCTGAGTTGAAAGTTTGAGATAACTTCGAGTCTATTGTTATAGCACTCCAAGTTACTGCAGCAAATTAGTAATACCCCGTAAAATCCGACTGAGACTTAATGTTTAAAAGCCAATGAACGCGCTGTTTTACCAAAACTAGATCCATCCAGGTCGAGGTTGCCTTACTCACACTCTTGCATTTGTCCGTTCACTGATGGCGTTCCTTGCAGTCCGCAATCTTTGTTCCCAACTAATTTGTCTCAACTTAACTTTTATTCTTCTTTAGCCACAATCAAAAGAGGTGACCTTGAGACTTTAATAAAGGCAATAACAAAATTAACAGAGAGGCTCGAAAGTACTACGGAGCAAGAAGAAGTTGCTGCAAATGGAGGTTAGATCCGTGTGAAAATATATCGATGTCAACACCTAACAACTTGCCCTAGATAGTACAAACGGCAACGGCCAAAATAGAAAAGCATTTTATTACCAAACGAAATCGTGGCGTTGTGCTCTACAGAACCAATTAATAAGAATATTGTGATTACTTATAAAAATTTTGATGTAATTTTAAAGACTTTAGGTAAAATTGTGTTGCTAGCACTCATGTAGTTTCTCCAGTGTATTGTCATCTGCGGGGTAATTCTCTTTTGAAGGACTCCTACAAAATATGTGATTGAACCAGATCCATCCAGATCAAAGTGGCCTCAGTCACACTCTCGTATTTATTCTAACGCTCGATGGCGTCCCTTACAGTCATGTTGTTCCCAACTAATTTGCAACTAAACTATTATTCTACTTAAGCTGCAATCAAAATAAGTGCCCTTGAGACTGCAACAAAGCGGATAACAAAAATAATTGAGAGGTTCGAAAGTCGTGTGGAGCAAGATGAAGTTGCAACTAACGAAGGTAAGATCCGTGTAAAACTAGCTGTAGGTAGTAACAATGGCAACGACCAAAATAGAAAAACATTTTATTACCAAAACAAATCGAAGCGTTTTGCACTACAGAACCAGTTATTAGGACTATTGCTTTACTTCTAAAAGATCATTAAACAATTTTAAAGACTACAGGTAAAACTGTGTTGCTAGCACTCATGTATTTTCCCGTCTGCGCTGTGTTCTGCGTGGCAATTTTCCTTTGAATGATCCCTGCAAGATATATGATTGAACTAGATCCATCCAGGTCGAGGTTTCTTCACTCACACTCTTGTATTTGTCCGTTCACTAATGCGGGTGTTCCTTATTGTCGGCAATCTTTGTTCCTAACTAATTCGAAGCTAAACTTTCATTCTTCTTCAGCTACAATCAAAAGAGGTCATCTTAGAGCTTCAATAAAGGAAATAACAAAAATAACAGAGAGGCTCGTAAGTCCTACGGAGCAAGAAGCTGCTGCAAATGAAGGTTAGGCCAGTGAAAAAATATATCGATGACAACACCTGATAACTGGTTGAAGATAGTACAAACGGCCACGACCAAAACAGAAAAGCAGTCCATTGCCAAAAGAAACTGGAGTGTTGTGCCTTACAGATCCAGTTATTAAGGATCTGATTGCGTTTACGTATAGATCATGAGACACTTTTATAGACTTCAGTGGGTAAAACTGTGTTGCTAACACTCGCATAATTTCTACTTCGCATTGTGTTCTGCGGGGTAATTCTCCTTTGAATGATACCTACAAGATATGTTTAACTGCAACAACAACAACAACAACTGTTCTGCGGGGTAATTCTCCTTTGAATGATACCTACAAGATATGTTTAACTTATTGAACTAAGGCCACAATTTCACACATCCTGCAAGATTCAATGGTCAGAAGTCAGCAGACTCTTCTAACATGTTATAGAGCGAAATTAAGAGGAGAAAGATCGAAGAAGTATGATGGTATATCAAGGCAACGCCTCAAATTGCCAAATTTTGATTTAAAGACTCCTGTTAAAGAAAACCATGTAAAAGAAGAAAAAAATAGAGTAAAAACAATGAAATGAATGATAACAAGTGTAAATGTATCCATCTATAGAAAGCATAAAACGCATGGAAAATGAAACACAACCCGTTAACAAGGAGTTAGAAACTGCGCCAGAACCTGATGGAACAAGCCAAAACCAAGGTCAGTTTACGTCTCTTGAAAATGCTGAGGTAAGAGGATAAGCTCTCGGTGTCTTAGCATGGTTTGACAAGGGGTTAACATTGCGTAAACTTCCTTGAAACTGCGCTCAAACCTACAAACGTCTTGAAAACAATCCTTTTGGACCTTGTCGAAAGCTTATACTTTCCAATTACACTTACTGATTCGGATATCTACAAAAGAGACTCGATATGTCCAAAGTACTTAAGGAAAACTGAGCATGAACAAACTTTATGGTCAGGAAAATTATGGAATGGATCATTATAGAGACATGGAAGTGGAGTCGCTAGTTTCAAGTGCAGTTTATGTGATTCATTTTTAAATGACCGGAGACCCTCCTCACTATTGAAATTTGACTAAATCGTCATTTTAATACAGAAAAAGTTTTTTCGTATTTTTCCATGGTCGATACGATATTTATTTTTTGTTGCTGAACCTTGCGATGCAGCCAAAATGTTATAGTCCAACAGAAGGGATGCCACAAAACATGGGTCTGGTCTGACTCTGAGTCAATGGACTAAGGCCAAAACAAATCCAACCTCATAAAAATTCAACAAAGATCTCCACTTTTATGCAAGAAGCAATCCCCTATAACTGATAAGTCAAAAAAACCTACCTTCCCCACCCCTGAGCTTTCCACAAGGAGCCATTTTCAACCCACCTTTGAATAGGTTAGTGATTGGGCTGCATGCATGCAATAGCCTTGACGTTAAGCCCCCTGCATTTTCGTCGGGCAAGCTTGCATGAAGATGGGCGAGCCCTACGTACAGTAGATTCAATCATTTAACCAGCAGATTGCAAAATTGTGTACAACGAAAAAATAAATGTCATTGATTTACCATCAATTTCCAAAGCTATGATACTTGCAAAAAAAATACATGATTTAAAATGTACCAATTATCGTTTGCATTTTCCAGGGCAAAAAGATTCAGATGAAGACAACACAAGTCTCCTAGGGAAGAGTTTAGCTGATTCTAAGGAAGGGTCATCGCTGACTGCAAATCAAGCATCGAATTATTCAAGAAAGACCCTCAGAAGGCAAAACAGCGTGAAAAAAATTTGTGCTGAATTCGAAAAAAGGATCAGTGAGGGGACTCAAAAAGCAAAACAACACCGATCCTTTCATGGGGCCCAAGAGTTCAACTCAAAGACATCGCAAGAAAACTCTGATGTTGGATATCAGCTAGAGACCATTGGAAATTCTTCACTCATACAATCAAAGAAGGTTATAGGATTATATTTTTTGGATACATTTATCTTTTCACCCCCTTATTAAGACAATCCCAGTAAATATGTGATGTTCATGCTTATGAGTTCTTTTCAGGTACTGGAAAAAGAAGAAAGACAATCTCTTCAATCCTCAGAACAAGTAAGATAATTAATATCTTCCCTCATGTTATCATTCCAGGAAGGCAGGCTCAGAACTATACCTCCTTCAATCTCGTTGCAAATCGTCAGTACATTCCTTCCGTGTCCTTTATTGGTAGGTCGTTGTTCTGCGTTGATCAGTTCTTGCGCCGAATAAGTTCCGAAAGGGGGCAATTTTAAAACGCCAGTCTTCCCGTTTTAAATGTGAGTAAAACCGCGTCAGACTCATCAGTGATCAAAGAAAGTTCTTTAAGTGGAGTCTGTGTCAGTGAATTGTCCTAAAATATGGCAGAATTTCTCAAGCACGAGCATTTGTGAAATGTCTAACATATGATAAGTTCTCGACGCGTTCAAATGCCCCATTTAAATGCAGAATTTGACGATTAATTTTTTGGTCACGAAGCACAATCTGCGACCATGACTTTAAAAACTTCCATATCAAAAGATAAAACGCGTGTATTCCAATGGAAAAACTTAACACTTCCAAATTTCCCACGGCACCCCACGTAGGTAAGGTTCAAATTCTTTACCCCTGGGTACAGATGACAGTACGGGAGGGGATGTTTAAGCTTCTACTTGAACGGCGCCTTTCGTGAGAACTGACATCTATGCCGAGGTGAAGTTGTTACGATTTTCTTTTTATTTACCAACGTACCATTACAACAGGTCCTTCTTTCTGCGGCTGTCCGAACATCTTTCCTTCATTTTATCAGAGTATCATATGGAACTGATGAAATTTGTGACAACCAAATCATCTTATATCATTCTACTACAATATCAATACACAATGTTTCAACCCTTTTTGTAATGACGCTAAGTGATAATTTCGTCAGGATACCTCTAATATCACGTACTTTGTTCTTGTTCTAAAATGATTGAAGGACATGGACACTGACTCAGAGGAAGAAACACATGCTGATTCTGAGGATTATTCCGAGAATAGGAGCGAGGTATGTGTAGTACTTTACTTCTCTGCTATTTTAGCCTCATTTTGAAGCCTACCCCAGATAGCCTAGTTTATGAGAGAAAAACTACAGCAACATACCATAAGTAGCCATGGCCCCTTACCGAGCTTTCTTGATTGATTTCTCTGAACGCTTCCATAAAGCAGGCAGGGTATATACCCATTCTTGTAAAAGTCAACTAAAGTAGGAGGTATAAATATTACTTTGAATGATATTGATTGAGCTGCTGCAAATGGAAAGAAAGCGCATTTCTGTGATTCAGTAGCTCTGAAGCACAGAGGTCCGGAAGGCACCCGACCCTTCATCTCAGGAGTAAATCCCTTAGATAATGCCTCCTGAAAATAAACTCCTTTTTCCATTTTCACGCAGTGTTATTGTGTTGTAGTTGAGCCTCCTAAGGGCATAGTAAAGCCAGTGGTTTTGGTCGACAGTGCTTTTAAAAAGAAACTGTTATGTGCATAGCTGAGGAGTTAGCGAAGCTAACCAGAGCTCATCTGTGGAGCAAAGGCTTCTAAACCAAGTCTTAACTCTGTACCATCCTTTTCTACGAGACCCACCGCTGCACTCTGTTTAAGAGTCAACTGCGTGTCAGATAGGTTGGCATTTCATCTAATCATTACGTAGCGGGATTTTTGGTGGCCTTGCATCAAAAAATGCATCCAAAACCTTACAAACTACTTCAAGCTTCCCTGTCTTGCAGCCCTTAATGAGCTTGTGGAATGCAAATATTGCTTATCTGTGGTTATTCACTGCGCCATAACATTTCCTCTTTTAATCTGTTAAATACGAGCAGAACTGATCAATTTTTCTTTGACGAGGAGCTGTTTAAGTGCTTGTAGGGCCCTTGCGCCAGGAGTGGGAGCCGAGTAACACAGTAGTTTGCTCTGAAAATCTCTTAGCGAAAATGTTTGCATGAAAACTACCAGGCCACTAGTCATAAATTCACTTGTAGAACCAGGATATGTGGTTGTTAGTTGGGTGACATTAGTATTTCGTTGAGAGGGGATAACAGAATCGCCTGCCTGCAAGACATTTCCAGGCAGTGGTGAGCCTGGAAAATGTTGGCCCTCTGTTATTGTTTCCTTGATAACTGATAGCGCCGGGTCTGCAAATCTGCCTCATGGTTGAAGTCTTCCAGCAGATATCCTGCGGTGAGTGTAATTTGTTGCTCAGAGCACAGTCCAAAAATTCCTGAGATCGTGTCCCCCTCCATATGCAATTCACAAGTAACCGCTGTTCACTTGTCCATTATCAGTTTGATATGAAGTATCCTCCTGCTGGCAGGGAAAGTCATCAAAGCAAACAACGCTACCTTTAGTTCTGAGGCATTGATACGAAGTGACTTTGATTCCTTTAAGGACCAAAAGTCCTCTTGTGTCAACTCTTTGGCAGACTACTCGAACCTTGTAGGGGCGCATCTGAAACTATTGTCGGATCTGGGGCTTGGTTAATTACCGAGCGACCATCCCATATGTAATTCTCTTTTGTAGATTTCCTGATTTTATAATAATAATAATACTAATAATGATAATAATAATAATAACAACAGTTTATTAAACTCTCTTGCAGTAACGAGTTATAATACAATGAAAACTTAATAAGATCGACTATGTTCTTTTCTGTATACGTTAAGTACAAGTTGTATACACCACACCTTACGATGCGAAGCTTACTAAACGTGAAGGTTACTGATGTACAGAAAGCCGATTTATTTTTGGACTGGTTGTTAACGGTAACATTCAAACTGCAAAGCAATTGAACTGCTCTAACCAATTGAGCGGTTAGCTCAATTGGTTAGAGCGCCGGATTGTGTTGTGCGGGAGGTCGAGGGTTCGAGCCCCGGCCGGACCAATACTTATGGTCTTAAAATTAAAGGAGGAGAATTTGCCACCTTTCTATAATCAACAAATGGATAGATTCTAGTCTTCTCGGATAAGGACGAATAAGCCGTAGGCCCCGTCTCCTGCGGGGTTAGGGGTAGGAGACGTTAATTTCCCACGCACGAGATTACTGTGAGTGGATGTCCTCCCCTGGGTGGGATGGGTGGGTATTGGCCCTAAAAAGCCCCTATGGGGAGTGGTCAATTAACCTATGTATGTATGTATGTATGTATTGATTGTGTTCTAAATATGAATAACATTCATAGGGTTGAAATCGCAACGAAATGTTACTTATAATTCGGTGCGGCAGTCCATACATCTCTACGCGTCCTTTTTGCGGATGTCTTCTGTTGACTGTCAGACCAGTATTAAATTTGTCGCGTCTATTTAAATAACAAGGGGTAACTCGTTCCCAGATTACTTGCAACAGCATTCTGAATTTTTAACATATACCTCATATAAATAACCCCCTTGTGTAGTTTGTGTAGTTACCCCGTTCTGGCGACAGCATTCAGGTGCCAACAGAATAACTACACAAGGGGGTTATTTGTATGAATTATATCTTAAAAATTCTTATTACACTATGCGCAAATCAATGTTCGTTGCCTTTTCCAGTACAGACTTCCTCTAAAGCTAGCCATAAATTTCCAAGAAGGCCTTGATAACATTGATTCGGTACTGCACCCTGGATACATTACTGTCGCTTTTGCGGACCTAAGACTTTCCGGGAGCGTCAAATATCTCTCAAATAATAATCCAGTGTCGGAGTTATAAGACAATCAATAATTGGCACTGGGTTTGTATCTGGCATAAATTCTTGAAATTAGCTGAATCTTCATATCTTTCACTTCAGTAGAGTGAACTTGTCCTATATGCATTTCTTAACTGATGCCCTGATGCCCTTTGTCAAGTCAAGCTTGTGCCCGGTTTTGCTTTCCGTTAAGAAACGCACGCAGTCGTCACCCTCGTGCACAGGAGGGGTTTATTTTCGTTTATTTCGGCCCTTATTCTCAGTATCTGATTCAATGGCGCCACTTCCGCCTTTTGATGAAGCGTCAGATGAACGACTGGAGTCGTCGTCACTGCTGAAGGACTTCGTACTTGGCTTTCGTTTTGCATGTTGTACATGTGAATAAGCCTTTCATGAATGAAGACGAAAATTTACCCTCTCATCCAAGGTGCTGACATCTATTGAGACCGCGGGAGAAATTTTCCCGTCCTCTGCCATCAACCTCTTGGTTATTCTGTGAAGAATGGCTGAAGAGAAAAAGGATTTAAAGAATTTTTCACATCGACTAGAAGCGGAAAGCGAAATGACTCGAAGCCATTTTGGCAAATGATAGAGGAGAGCAAGGAAACGAGGTTCCATAGCCTCTCTTTGACTTTGACCTGACTTAAATTGGCGGGAAACGGAGGAGAATGCGCTAATATATCTTATTTGATTATATGTTTTGAAGTTATATCTCTTGAACAGGGGACTCATGTGTTTTATGAACTCTACGTTCAAGTTTTTCCTTACCTTAAAATTCCTTTGGTGACTAAAATAATGTCTAATGCTGCCAAGGCTTAAGCAAAAGTGTAAAAAGGGCAATTGAACTTTCCTTTACTCTCTGAGTGTATTTAGTCCTAACTACGAAATTACTGGTTGTGGTATTCGTTTGACTTCTTATTCAAATCTGCGCTGAGCTTCACAAGGAGACGGCGGGTTAGACCATTATTTTTTTGGGAGTTTTTTACATTATTAACTCAATACAGTAAATGGTTTAAGTCCGGGGATTAAATGTGATCGTGTAATCTGATCGTCCGCGTTAAGGTAGTCCTGAAAAGGACTGTTGTCAGTAGTAGTGACGAGGGACCTCAAGCAAACCACGACGGTGACCGGAACGAGGACGTGGCAAAACAAAACTTTTGATGGACAGAACAATAGCTCAAAACGTGCGTTTTAAAACTGTTCATTTTGTCGCCGTCCTAAACAAAACAACAACAACCCGACGTCGAATTATCTAAGTTTCCATGTGCCATTCAATGTTACTCACAAACATTAGAGAGATTTAGCACCGCGTTTTCGTGAAACGTGACCGGCAAACTGACCACGTGACCTTGGTTTTCCTGCCATTTTTCCACGTTTTTTCGTTGCTTTTGCCGTCATTTCTACTTAAAGGTAACCTGTTTCGCCTTTGCTGTGTACGTAGGAGTTTTTTCAGTTCTTCTCCTACAGAGTCGAAGTTAATTGCTGGAAAAAAAGCACCAAAACTATTCCTCGAAAGTCACGCACGGTTGCCTCCAAATCCACCATGACGTGAGCTCACGCGAAGCTAAAGCAGCAAGGTTCACGCTATTTTACGCGAAACGCGAAAGGGCAAGCTGACGTTTGCTCCATCATGCTGAAGTTGAGGTGTGGCGCCGTAAGAGACGGTAAACACATCCAGCCATTCTCGAAACTCTAAATGAAAGAATGAATAATTCTTTTTAATAGAGGTCTTCCTCGGCGTTTCAGTCCTGACTGCTTAAGGTCCATTCTGACGTTTCGACAACCTGTGCAGGAGTCATTTTCAGAGTCAATTGAATATTTGTTGTCAGTCAAGTGACTGATTGATCATTTTGGCCGAGATGTTATTGGCTTTAAGGCTCAAGTGGCGTAACTCGGTCGTGATTGGTCAGTTTCGATCCGTCAGTACTATTAGGTCGTTCTGTTCTGTCTGGGTCGGACATGTAAAGCGCTCGTAACAACGAGAGAAACTAGTCTTTAAACGAACTGAACGAGTTTATCTGTACTTCAACATAACAAACCTCAACAATGGATGACAAACTGGCGCGCCAAATTATTGAGACGAGGCAGTATTGTAGCGGCGAGAAATCACAGTTTGAGCACATTTTCTTTCACGAGGACTTCACCACATGTGCAGAAAAAGAACGCTTCGCATCTTGGTGTTACGTAGTTACAAAAACCGGAAGTAAGGCCTTGCGCAAAGTCCCAGTTTAGTCAACTCAGTCGATAAAACAAAATTATCTAGTACAAATGTTTAACCGACTGATGCTTGATTGTGTAATATACTAGGTTGTTGTTGCGTAAACATTAAATTGTCCACCAGTTTCCTTTATTTAATTGAGAAGATATTTGTTGCTAAAATTAACTATCTAAAAATCACCAGAAGAGCTACTGCTCCTTTAAAAGACTGTTGGCCGTTAAATATCACATGGAAAAACAACGCCTAGGTCGAAGGAAACTTTGTTGCGCCTCTAACGCAAAACTCTCTTCATTGTGTTCTAGACTTCCTTGTGTGCAAGTGGTGCTTAAACAATACGTGTCTTTTTTCAAGTAACTGCCCGTGACGTTAGCTACTACGAGTCTACTTTGCTTAGGCGTAGAATATCCGAAATAGAAACCAGAGAGACGAATGTCATCAACTCAAAACATCATGCTTGACTTTTATCATAACTCTCTAAAGTATATCAAACTTATTTCGTCCGACAAAAATGTTTCCAAAACTTATTGGCTGCATTTTAAAGGTGTCATCGAATAGCTTTGTAACGCAGCTTTTTTTTCCTTTCAGTATATCGATCGGGTTTTTCACCTTTATTTGCACGAAAATGATGGTGTGAAGTCCGTGAAGATAAAAACAGGGGACAAAAAAAAATGTTCCCTCCAAAGTGAGCCAGGATATAAGGAGTACTGGAAGACTCTTCCTTTCCAAGTAAAGAATTGTCAAAAAGGAAGCTTTACCTATAAATACAGAGTAAAATAGACATCTGGACCATCCAAGCGCTGGCATAGGGTAGTAAGAAGTTTTTCGGGTAATGTAACGGAGAAAGAAGACCGGAAGCTAAAAGATGGAGAAAATCAGTATGACGTTTTCAATCATCCAAAAAAGGATTTGGAAGACCAGAAGAAAAGTTCAATCCTAGGACAGGTGTTCTTTGTGAAGCGGTTGTACCGCGATTTAGGAACAAGTCGTAACTTGAAGGAGATCCTAATCGACTGCGAGTGTGTCCTGTCCGGTCAGAACTCGCTCAGGCCGAGCGGAAGTATCAAATATTTTACTGAGTGGATGGAACTGTGTTTCCAAAGTATCCTAAGTTCCCATCAAAGTGTCTACATATGCTCTCTTACTGGTCACCTTTTAAGGTCCGGGGAGTCACCTCAGAATGTATTCGACCTACTCGAGAAGAACGTGGGGCTTCTTACATCTCTTCAAGATTTTTCAAAGAATGACCTACCACCAAGCAGCGTTGAATCGATCAAGTGCGTTGCAGACGCTCTTTATAGAACCAGCTCCTCACAAGCATTTTTGATTTTCATTAAATGTTGTTTGAATTTGCTCGATCCGAATTATGTCATGCAAAAGGCAGACAAATTCTTTCCACATCCATGCAGTGAAAAACAATTTGATCAACAAATGACGGATGTGTTAGATTGTCTCAGTGCCATGAAAGATCTGGAAAGTCGGAGAAAACTTTGTTGCAGTATCATAGAACATTTTCCTAGTGTCAGCTGCCTTTGGAAACTTTACGCTGCTATATCCGATCGAATGCCTGACGTGATAGATACCGCTTTAGTAGAATTTTCAACTGTGTTCAGCAGGTGTATTTCAAGTCATCGTACTCAAAAACCAGATCTTCTTCAACCCTGGTTTTGGCAGCAGGTGCCGGAGAAGTTCAAGAAGAACCTGGCCGATCCATTTTGCGAAGCGCTTACAAAGCAAGTTCAGTCCCAAACTGTGTCCTCGAGCGAAGAACTAACCGGGTTGAAGTCAATTGTTTGTGATGGGACACTACAGACTTCAAAACATTTCTGTGATCTCATGTTAAGCATTGCATCGCAAGCGAACATCGATGTAGCCTCCATCATCCCAGATATTTTACAGATCGAAAGGTTTCGTACTTTCTGGAAAACCGAATTGTCCTTTGAAAATAAAAAGGCGCATTGTCTTTACTGGCTTCTAAACTTCTGGAATCGTGAAAATTCAACTGAAAAACAAATTATTAGTCTCCTCGAATTCTCTGATTTCCTATGTGCCACTCATACACTGAGGGAGGATGAAGAACTTTGCAATGAAATCGTCAAGGCCGTCAAAAACAAAATATTGAAGCAAACCTTTCAATCCATCATGAGTGCAGTTACAGAAGCACATATTCGTGGCTCAGAGATCCAAGAACGCCTCGCAAAGCTTCTCGGAGAAGCAGCAAGAATACCAAGTGGCCTCGGAGACCATTCAAAACGTACACAGTTGATTCACTTTCTTAGCTGTCATATTCCCAAAGGAAGACAAATAGATTTAGCAGATGACATAACTGATAAGTAAGTAGATTATGTTATATAAAACCTACCACCATGATCTTAATTTGTTCAAACGCTTGATGTGGGAAGGAAATGTCACTCAAATGGCGTTACGAATAGGTCATTGTGGGGTTTTGGAGTAATTCTCCAAAGGATGTGGGAGCATTTAGAAAAACGGAGGGGAATTAGATCAATCCTAGTCATTCTTGCTTCATCACATAATCTCCATTTCTGAATTTCTCCCGGTGTCTTTCTTACACAGCATTTGACATTTGAATCCGTATATTTAAGGATAATCATTGGCTTGGGCTGTACCTACCTCAGTCTTTATAAACATGTATGAATTTCGTGAAAAGCAGTAATATTGATTTGATCACATTCTTGATACAAAGGGTTAGGGAAATACTCTTCTTGAGTATTCTGGAGCCTACGCGGACGGCGCCGGAAAGAGTACCACAATTTGAAAAGGAACGTACTTTGCGAGAGATGTTAAATTCAAGTGAAGTTTGGTTACCCTTGTTGAACGCAATTAACCCGCAAAGTAAGCTTTTGGAACATCCCAGAGTAATTTCGGCCTTGGATGCTTTGCAGTGGCTAGCAGTTCAACAAACAAGACACCAAATTCGAGTACCTTTCTTATTAAACTTGGAGGAAAAAGAAATTCAGCTCCTAAATGAGTTTTTGGCCTTAAAATCGATCATGGAGACACCATGCAATCCACCCAATGTTGATGACTGGTTGCCACTTTTCCGTATGGAGATCTCACAGGCAAAAATGATTTGCGATCGATTTTCCAAACTGAAAGGAACGATCCAATTTCTTGAGAGGGTTTCCAGGGGCATCGTGGAATATTGTGATTTAAAATCGCTGAGCCAGAAAGTGAACGAACGGGACCAATTGAAGAGTACATTAACCCTCAAAGATGTGTTTGATAAGAGCTACTGGAATGACCTGCAAAGGCTGGTTGACTTTGAAAAACAAACAACAGAAGTTAGAGAATGCACTTCATTTATCAATATTGTGCGTTTTTGCATAAAAGAAGAGTTTAGCTCCTGTCAAAGGACAATGGGAGAGGAAGTTCGTTTCCAAGACGTGATCAGCAAAGTCAATGTTATTAGTGTCTTGTCCTTTCTTGAAATCAAAGGACTACCGCAAGTCAAAGAAATCTGTATCAAAATACTCAATAGCACAAGTGATCCAAGTTCGGAGGAAGTGTCAACGCTCTTGCATGGAATCAAAAATAAAGATACTCTCCATCACGAACTTCAAGTGATCAGTTGCTTTTGTGGCTTCAGGGTTTGTGATGAAAAGAAAGAACTGTTTAGCACCTTCCTCAACTTCCCAACTGTTTGTGCAAAGGTTAGGCAGTTGATGTCACTTTTCACGGCCCTTGGATTTCAAGCGGTTGAAGGGGAAGTCTCTACTATAGACCTACAAGATGTCGTGTCCTCCGGTTGTGTAACTGACCTCTCGCTACGACGCCTCTGCGAAATTGTCAGAAAGGAAAATGTGCGGGAAGTTGACACCAAACTCGATGAAACTTTGCTGACCATCATGAAGACACTTCAAGAGTCTAATGAGCTGATTTTATTCCTTAAAGAGACAGCAAATGAAGACCTGAGGCTATTGATTGATGTCGTGGAAGAGCATTCCGACCAGTTTGTTTCTGAAGCCACGGTATCTGATTTGATTGATATTCATGGTTTTTTGCGAAATGTCTTAGCAGAAAAATTGCAAGACCCTCTGACGCTACTAGATAGAATTAAAGACTGTTACAGTAAGCTTGAAAAGAAAGTAGAGATGGCAGCCAAGATCAAGCAATGCGGTTCAAATGTACATAGTTTGCGATGGCTTTACATGAATGTTGCCTATCGAGAAGAAATGACCAGGGAAATTATCAGCAATGCCCTAGAGAATGGCTGGTATCTTGTCACAGCCAACTCCAAGGGATTATGTGACGTGCACCTTAGTTATCGTTGTGAAAGAGGTGCCCCAAAGGAGACAACGTACAACATGGCAGATCTTCAAGATCTAAGAAGCCGAGCTCTTCTCATTGTAAATACCGACAGGAAACAAGACCAGCTAATGCAACCACAGGATGACAAGGCTATTACCTCTTCTGTCAACCAAACCTTGTCTGACTTCACTGAGCAAGTCGAGGTGATTACGGAGATCCTTAACACACTCACACTATAACAGAAATCTGGCCATAAAGACTATAGCACATTTTCGCAGAAGCTTCATTCCACTGAAGAGATTAAAACTCTGGCAAAATTGCTGACTTCGAGTTTGAAGGAATGGAATATGTTACTGAGCAGTGTACAAGACGATTATTATTTTCTGAACTTCTTTCATCCCGATCAGCTTTGGATCCTACAAAAGTTTTGTTCGCAACCTTCTGAAATGAGAAACGAGCAATTCTCGATGGCGCCCGTCCACGACTTGCTGCGGTTTGTAGACCCAGAACTACAACACGAGGATTTAAGAGGATTTGGTAGTAAGTCCCAAGCACCAATTGAACACTCTGGAATAGAGAGTGATCTTCGCGCCATTGGAAATGCTCTGAATAACTTATTCTTACCTCACCGACCAAAAGAGATGCAACTGAAACTACAACGGGATTTGCAAACAGCTGTTAAACCTGGCGAGCTATTTGTAGCTGTTCTTGAACATGACAGTAAACAAACCATTCCTGTGGTCATGTCTCTGTTCAAGAATACTGAAACTATCGAAAACTATCAGCCTTTATTCAAGAATACTGAGTTGTCTTATCCACAGCCAAGCCAAGTTCTATTTTGTAGTTCAGATACCAGCTGGGAAGAGGTGGAGCGACTTCTAAAACGTGCATTTGAAGCACAAAAGCATTCAGCCGCAGTGAAATTACACTGCCTTGCCAATGTTGAAAACCTATGTAATGACGTACAGTTTGAACTCGTTGCAGCCATTAGAACATACCAAGAAAGCGTTGTATCCCCATATCTACTATGTTTGGTCTGCTGCGGGGGGTTTCATCATCACATTGTTGATCAGTTTTCTACGACAACACTCAACGTTGCTGGTTTGTCAGATTTTCAACTGCGAAAGGCATTTCAGAATGATTTCCCTTACGTTTTCGTTGTTACCTCAGATCTTCCTGGTGTGGGAAAAACAGAGGTTGTTCACGAACATGCAGCAGTTACGAGCAAAAACGCAGTAACTTTTCCAATCAGCGGGCCTTTGTCGAGAAAAGATCTGGTAAAAAAATTGTCGGCAATACATATTTCCCCGAGTGAATGCATTCACTTTGATGTTGGTGATGTGGACGATCCTTTCCTTCTGGACACGTTCATGTTCGAGCTGGTTGTTTTAGGCATGATTTCCTCTGGAACGAAAATTTTTCATCTGCCAACCAAACATGTCTACATTGAAATCGCAAACACAATGAAAAATTGGTTACAAGACTCGCTTCCTGTCACGAAGTGCTTTTCTCCTTTGCACATAAAGGCGGATAGTTATAAAGACCTTGTTGTGAGCCAAGAGCCACTGAGTCCCATGCAAGTGGTTTGTCAATATCTGCATGCTTATGAATCTGGATTCATAGAGACCAAAGACTTGGATCCTAGGAAGCTACAACCTCTGTCTCCAGAAGATTGCAAACGTCTCCTAGCCACGCATTTTATGTCAACCACCGAAATATCATACAACATAGTGGAAAGTTTTACAAAGGTTTTTTCTAACCAACTTTTACAATTTCAGGCAAGTCCATTTTTCAAACCTAAAGCTTTGAAGGCCGCTCTTGGTCCAAATCATGATGCTCGAGCCCGTCTCTTCGATGCCCTCTTGAAGGTGTCAAGAGAATTTGCATCACGGTCTGTTTTAACTTGCAAGAACACGCAGTCAGAGGCCAATACAAAGGAGAAGGCCCCTGAAGTGCTTAAGAAACTTCAATCATCCTCAAAGAGAGCTGCAGTCGAAATGGTTGAACGGGTGGAAGGAATGATTAAGTGGGCTGATAACAATCACCTTGTAATTGCCTTTCATGACCTACAGAATCTTACTGTCTCTGCTTTGTACCGTGATTTGTCAAAGGTGCCTCCTAAGCTAAAGGAGCTGTTGGAAACCCAAGCAAGAAAAGGCGCAGAAATTGAGGACTTTACAAAACTCAACCACGATGAGCTCAAGGAGCGACTCCATCGAATTGTAGGAAGAGCTCCTGGAGGAAACGATGTTCACCGGGAAAACACTGATTACGCTCTTACTCCAGATAACATTCTCAAAATGGTGCTGGTCATCCAACGCATTAAAGCGCGTATACCTGTCATCCTTATGGGAGAAACTGGCTGTGGTAAGACCAGCCTCGTCAGGTACCTTGCTTGGACGTGTGGTGTTCCATTTCATGTATTCAATTTTCACGCAGGTGTTACTGAAGAGCAAATTCTCTCTTTTGTGCAAAACATTGGCGAGGAAGTAAAGGGTGATACAGAAGTTTGGGTTTTTCTTGACGAAATTAACACTTGCAATCGTTTGGGGATTATTAATGAGATCATTTGTCACGGTAGCATCGAGGGAAAAGCACTGGCGCCAAACTTAGTCTTTATGGCTGCTTGTAACCCGTAGCGCTTACGTCCCACTGGCAAAATCTTGACAGCCGGTCTCAGTGAAAAGACAGCCACAGATGAATACTCGAAACTAGTATACCGTGTTAACCCATTACCAGAAACGATGATCGACTACGTCTGGGACTATGGATCTCTTAGTAGAGAAGACGAGCGTGCCTACATCGGTCGAATGGTACAACGAATCACTGGAAACTCAGACAACTTGCTGGCTGATCTTCTATGTACCTCTCAGCAGTGCATCCGGGAAGTTGACGAGAACCACTATTGTGTCAGTCTCAGAGATGCTCATCGATGCATTGTTCTCGTGAAATGGTTTGAGAAGATCTTGCAGAAGCGCGAGAATCTGCCCCTATCTAGTAACAGTGGACAGTGCGAGAGTCACGGAATCGCTCGTGAGACAACCAGTGAGGAGAGAGCTTTTGTTCTTGCCTTAGCGCACTGTTATCAATCACGTCTATCGACTGCAGAGGATAGACAAGGATACCGTAGGCGTGTGTGTGATTGCTTTGAAAAACACGGAAGACATCACATTTTACAGGCGTCTTTTAAGGCTATTGTCAGAGCAGAGCAAGAGGACTACCTTAAACGCATGGAAATGGCAGAGGGAACCGCTCAGAACGCTGCGCTTCGCGAGAATATTTTTGTTATGTTAGTTTGTATTCTGAATCGTATCCCGGTTTTCGTTGTTGGGAAGCCAGGGTGTAGCAAGTCTTTGTCTATGCAAATCATTCGCAGCAACTTGAGGGGAAAGGATGCTAAAGATCCTTTTCTGAAATCACTTCCCCAACTCTATGTCATTTCCCACCAAGGTTCAGAATCGTCAACGTCTGATGGGATACTCAAGGTGTTCGACAAAGCACGAAAATACAGGGAGCACAACAAAAGCGACAATGTTCTCCCAGTTGTGCTCCTTGACGAGATTGGACTAGCTGAGGTGTCAAAGTACAACCCTCTCAAAGTATTACACAGCCTTCTTGAACCTAGCGATGGTGCTTTCCCTGATGTTTCCGTGGTGGGCATTTCAAATTGGGCTTTAGATGCTGCCAAGATCAATCGTGCAATTCATCTCTCCCGACCTGACCCAGATGTTAATGATTTAACTGAGACTGGAAAGTCTTTGCGACAAGTTAACAGCGACAGTAACGCACAATACACCGCACAAACCTACCCACACGATATCGACCTTCGCAAACTTGCTGAAGCGTATCATAGATATCAAGTATCTCAAAGATATGCAAACTTCCACGGCCTGCGTGACTATTACAGTCTTATTAAATGCCTCAGCTCAAACACGAATCATGACACCTCCACCAACCTTCTTCACGCACTACGGAGAAATTTTGGTGGGGTCCCTACTGACGTCAGCATTTTTGAGAAAGTGACGGAGTCTTTGCAGTTGAATGGGGAGAAGTGTCGTTTTCCAGTCACTCAACTTATTCATGACAATCTGCATGACAAACTTGCTCGACATTTAATGATAATAACCAATGGAGATTCTGCTATTGGTATCCTGGATCAGACTTTCCAAAGTATGGACAAAGAGAAAATCACTATCTTTGGTAGTCGGTTTGAAGAAGACCTCTGTGAAGACTATAATTATCGAATGCTTAGTCGCATCATTTTGTGCATGGAGAGAGATTGCGTTCTTATCCTTCGAGATCTTGAGAGCATCTACGGTAGCCTTTACGATATGCTGAACCAAAATTACACAGTCGTTGGTGGGCGGAAAAACTGTCGAGTTGCTCTCGGAGCCTTCAGCAATCCTATGTGTCAGGTTCATGACGGATTCAGATGTATCGTTTTGATTGATGAGAGGAAGGTTGACTATACAGATCCTCCTTTTCTTAACCGATTCGAAAAGCAACTGCTTCGCTTCTCAGACGTCCTAGACGATAAAGAAAAAGACATCATCGGCACTTTGAATAAATGGGTGAAGGACATTTGTACCATTCCAGATTTCGAATCTCAGTTTCACGAAGAAGATATGTTTCTCGGATTCTGTGATGACACCTTACCTTCACTTGTCCTCAAACAATGTCAAGATGAAGAGCCCAAAGAAGAAGTAGTTTTGGAAAAATGTAAGCAGGATCTTATGTTAGTAGCTACGCCTGATGGCTTTGTGAGAAGTTTAGAATCATCCCTGGCCAAAAGTAATTTTGAGGAGGTCCAAACATTATACAACAGCTATTTTCAGAAGCCCCTGCACAATGGCCTAGAAGAGTATCTTAAAAAATCCCTGGAAAATACGCAGGTGAATTCAAAAAGCGGAGATGCCAACAGTGGCATGCGACTTCTGATAATGACCCACAGTAATATCCACGTAAATGTGACAGAATGCCTTCAGGGGCTACTTAAGTGTCAGACTGAAAAACTTAGCGCTTTCAAGTCTGAAAAGAATTTAACAAAGACCCTTGAGAGTTTCTGGAGGTCTAATGACACACTTTTGGTACTACAATGCAAGCCGGAGTTAGACGCTACCCATCTGCTTCTTGCAATATCAATCATTGAGCACCAGAGACAGACGCAGATCAGAGAGGCTCTGCAAACAGAAAACTGGCAAATCAAGCATGTTTGCATCGTAATCCATGTTCAAAGGGAAAGCAAAGGCGATGAATTGGAAAGTCAGCGATGGCAGTTCAGTTTCCAGAGCGGCTGGAAGCAAGTAACTATCGATACTTTAGAGCCACTCCGGCTACCTATCACTGAGTGTCTCGATGTCAGTGTTGTTGACCTTTTGGAAACAAAGCTCTCGTTTACAGAAGTCGCTTCTGATCAATTTCTCTGGTGCTTCACTCGAATAAGATATCCAGCCAACCGCCAGCCTTCAGTAGAGGACATTGTCCAACTGGAGCAGAATCTTAGGTCATCCTCCAACTCTAAGATCCTGGAATGTTTCAGGGAGCTAGTAAAGCGCTGGTTGAATGAGAGAGATCGCAATTCAAGACAACTAAACGCTCGCAGCTGGCAATTTTTTGTGGCGTGTGATAGGCAAGCTTTAATTGCTTCTTCACATTTGGTGGGAGCTATTCAACACCATGTCAGCCATCTTGTGCGTCAACCACTGGCAAAAATTGTTTATTTCCTAGAGAAGGAATCTGCCTGGCCGAAGTGTTTGTTCAAACAGAAGCTATCCCACGAAGAGGAACTTCAAGTTTGGTCAGAAGTGATCTTAAATCAAGAAATCTTAAACATTGATGATATTCCTTACCACCAAGGAGCAGAATCCTACTTCGTTTGTGAGCGACACTTGGAGCTGAGGCTTCCTTTTGCATCAATATTTTGCAATAAAGTAGAGCAGTTTCAGCCTTTGTTTGCAGAAGACCACAGGCAGCTGCTTTTGGACACGACAAACCTAGACGAAAATGAAGAGTTGTCGGATACTGCGTCAGAATTACTAATATACAAGTTCAGCAGACGCTTAAGAGATAAAGTTCCTCAACTAGTGGAGCTGGAATACCTCCATAAAAACATTGGATGGTACGTTGAAGATCTTTTTGACATGAAAACTGGTCGTTTTTCTAATGCTTTGTCACGAGATGAAAGAGTTCAGTTTTTGAAGTCGGCAATGGCACACCATATAAAGTTTAGCATGGACGGTGATCCTTCCCGAGTCATTGCCCAATTGCACTCTCTCTTCTGGTTGAACGAATCTTCGTATATGACGGCACTGCAGGTTTACGAGACGTGCTGCTATATTGAGCATGTGGAATTTGGGAAAGTGTATCACACGTTTACACCTGTGTTCGAGGAGATGCTTTTTCAAGACAAGAGACCACATAAAAAGTGTTTGGACGGCAACAAAACATTGAAGCAGAGTTATGACGAGTTAGGAGAATCAGAGAGAGTCCAAGCAGCCAATGTAAAATTTAACGAGGAAGAAGAAGGTCAAGTAGACAAGACGACCAGGCCAGTGGATCAACACAGAGAGCAACACGAAAACGCACAGACGAAAGCTAACGAAGAACCAGAGGAACAAAAGAAACAACTACCCTTTGCACCGACAGATAATTTACGGAAAGGATGCTTCAGTAATCATAGAATGGGCGATAGCGACGACATCAGTGACGAGAAGAAGATTAAATCTTTTCAAGAAGGGAAATTTTCTGACGCGGCTGAAGGAGGCCGGTGTGAGGAGGCTCTAAAGTCAGTTTTACCGGAGATCGAGGACTATGCAAGGAAAGAGAGGAATGATAGAAGCCTGCAACAAGAAAACCACGTTGAACACCGTGGTAATTTCGAAGAAATATATAGTATCGCGAAGGAAGAAAGTGATGAAGAGGTTGAAGAGTGTTCAGGAGATGAAGGTGACTCGAACGAAGAAGATACCGAGAGTGAACTCCAAGTGAACGATATTCAAGACGAGGCTTACGGAGAAAAAAGTATTGGCTTTAATGAAGTATTAGTAAAAACTTTATGCTCCGCTCTATTCCCAACGTCTGATGTGATAAGGAGCTTGAATGGGTATGAAGGTTGGCAGCGAACAACAACTCTCTTTCTTTCTACAGTGAGCAGAATGCAAGTTCAGAGTCCTGCCTATCATTTCCTACGCGTCTGTCACGACTTTGCGACCCTGGTGGCCCTATCCGAATCCCTTCGACAGCGCTATCTTTACCCGCTGGGTGAACTTGGCAAAACCGGAGCTTCCGAGGATTACCTCAGCTCGCAACCTGTCTTTGAACATGTTATGAACGCCACTGATGAGTTGAAGAAAGAAAAAAACCCACCAAAAGCTTTAGAAGACTTTATCATGCTATTTTATGGACGCTGCATTGATTCTGATTTGGACACGCCATGGCTTTTTTCCATACTAAAGAGAATATGTTGCAGTGAACATAAGTCGTACATGGAACTCGCTGGACCACTAATTCACCGTATTTTCCTAAGTGAAGAAAGGATTTTTCCAGGTGTCTTTGAGAAGCTCCTGCACAACTTGGACAGCATAAGTGAACATCCAGGTCTACAAGTATCCAGCTGCGCCTTGACATCTCTTCCACATGACAACAAACTGGACTCTCCATTTGCTGTGGTGTGTTGTGATCTCATAAACGAAGTTGGATTTTTAGACATAGATTTCACAACAGTTGTAAGCTCTGATGATCAGCCGCTCTTGAACTTTCGGAGAGCCTTTCAAACATTAACGGAGCCACGTGAAAACGTCAACAACAGAGTCTTCCATCTTCTTTGTGCAGCAGCTTATTTAAAGTCGTTTTTGGCCTCATTTTGTAAGTTTATTTTACAAAGCCCCAGTTACTTGGAAGAAGATGGGAAGTTTTCTATTCTTCTGAATGAGATAAATGCGGCATTCGCCTTAAATAGAACGCATCAGGAGCATCCTACGATGGGGGAGCTGCAGATCTACTTTCTAAAGGAGATGAGGAAAGAGCTTTCCATGTATGAGGTGTGCGATCGTTGTGGACGAAGCTGTAAACTTCCAGAGTTGAGAAGCATAAAGGGGGAAGAAGAAAACCTGGTTGGTAAACTAAGCTCTGATCCTTTTCAATCATTAGCGGAGGAATCTCAATCTCAACTGGCATTAGCAGCGCTTCTTGAAAAAAGAAGTTTGAATCCCCTTGAAAATGCTATCAGTTCCTTGCCCAATTCAGTGGAGAAGAAGGTCGAAATGGCAACAGTCCTAGCCAAGTCGTTCTATCTGATTCGGTCAAGACGAAAGTTGAGTGATAGTGAAGACAAGGCAATTTCGTCTTTCATAGTAAAGTTTATGAATATGGAAACTCCGTATGTTGAGCTTCTCCTCGGAATCACTGGACAGAAAGATTTCAATGCCACAGGACTTTGCATTTCACCAGAGTCATCACCAGCAGATGTCCAAAGAGCAGCACTGATTCTTCACCTCTGCATCATCCTTGCTTCAAGTTTCAGAAGTCCAGGGGAGACCAAATTGGCCATGATGTCATACTTCGTTAACCCAAAAGCTTCCGTAGATTCCTATGTCTTGGCATCAGGACAATGTCATGTCCAACCATTCAGCAAACACCAGAATTACGTTGATTTGAAACTACCAAAGACGACATCTACCTGCTGTCCTTGCGGGATGTTCTTTGTGGTGGTTGATGATGGTGAGAAAGCAAGCTGCCCTAGCTGTGAGCAAAATTTCAAAGCTGGAGAAATATTTATTCCGAAGCAGATGACCCAAGAAACCACTTCACCTTCAAAAGGCTACGTCGTTCTCATAAACTCTGGGAACATCTCTCTCTGTGTTCGGAGGTTGAAACCTCCAGAATTTCGTATTCTTAACCTTTTTGTTCACGCAGCGCTCTACGGGGGCTACGCATTAGGACTGATCGACGAGAGCTCTCTTTGCAACTTTATGAATACTGATCATCAAGATAGTAGTCCTTCTGATCTTTGTTTCGAAAATATTTCGAACGACTTAAAGGCGTTGTGTAGTCTCTTAAATGCCAAAGAAGAAGAAATCATTTCTTTCCTACATGGTGTGCTGGATGAAAGTGCCTCGATCCTTACCTCAGTGATAGTGTGCCACTCTTTAAAGGAAAGGATGTCCTGGGAAGAGGAGTTTGCATCAAAATTCAAACCCTTGCTTCGCGAATTCCATCCGAGGAAGCTCTTGGAACGTACTCGCCGTGCCTTAGAAAACTCCTTATCGCCTGTCCAGGGAAAGATTGAAGAAACTGACCAACCTCACTTTCCAAGTACAGAAGAGGGAAAAATGCATGTTCCCCGCCTGCTGAGAGTAACATTGCCGAAAACGTTTAACGGACTAAAAGCTTTTTATATGGCAGCTGAAGACGAAGAAAGAGAAAAATATCCATTGCTAGGTTTGTTTCTTGATTTTAACGACAGTCTTCCACTTGTGGCACATCTGGTCCCCCTTGTCTCGTGGAGTCGTGTGGTGGATTCGTTGCTGAGTAGACGTCTTAGTCGTTCAGACGCAAGCACAAATGTTCACGATGTCATTCGAAGCAAAACTAAAACACTAGAAGAGAGGAATCGTTTGACCGAGACCTTTAAGAAGTTCATCGACGCATTTGAGGCAATAAATCCTCTCCTGAAGGAACAGCTCAATCAAGATGTGCCACACCTTAGTGAGAGTTCACCGATCTCTACTTGTCTTGTTGAAAAGCGAGGTGAAGGAGAGTTCCTCTGTGCGGCTATGGAAACACTTCAGAAAATCCAAAACGAATTCTTGCAGAAGGTGCTTAGTATTGCAGCAACAGGGAAGTCTTCTGCTTTGATCTTTTTAAAGAAAGATGAGGGAAAATGTGCGATTCCAATTGTTCCTTTGCAAGAAGCTCGAGAAAAGGAAGTTATTCGATACCCGTCTGAGTGGTCGGACGACCTTTTAAGGTACTCTCACCGTAACACTGAGTACGGCCATGGAAAAGAGGTGTGTTTTGATCTCGCAAGGATGGAAAAGGAATTGGCGACCCGTTTCTTAGTTGGAAAAGCATTTCTTTCCACGTCCGACGGACTGCGTGAGTTCATCTTCTCTCGAGAGTTGTTTCACACCTGCAAAGGTATTCTAGATGAATTGCATAAGCTCATTCCTCAGCAGCCCCTGAAGGATATGCTACGGATGCGACTGAGTGAGCACAGCCTTGAGTGCGTACGAGAGTTGTTGGAACATATGGAAATTGTTCTTTGTTTGTTAAAGAGACACCGAATCGGAAAACCTGATGAACGGCTGACAGAATTTACAGACAAGTGGTTCTGTGGATTACGACCATTTCCAAAGGAATCGCTTCCTGAACCCCACCATGAGATCCAGCTAATGCACGTGGTTGCCTTGTATGAATTCCTCGAAGACTTATTGGCTGAATCGGCCGCGAAACGTGTGCATGACATGTATCGAAGTCCCATACCAAGACATATTAAAGATAAATTAGCTAAAACTGCTATTTTGTCTGGCAAGAGCGAAGCAGATGCACTTAATGCTATCACAACAGCACTCCGACGATTCATTTTCCGCTATCTCTACTCGGAAAAAATAAGACCTGAGCCCGGAAAGTGTCTAGCCGAGCGTATGAAAGAGTCTTCCCTTTGGCCGATAGACATGTACAAGTCGTGGGAGTCCACAGAAGGGGAATCCCTGGTAAAATTCACTCAGTCTACGTTTCCTGAGAATCTGACCATTGGACATACGTACGAAACCCTTTGCTTGTTCCAGAAGCGCCTTAGAGTAAGTAACAGTTATGTACGTTGTTTTGTTACCACTCTGTAAGTTTCCCTCCGACAAAGAAAAAAACCGTGAGAAAACATCGACTTCATTATTTTACAAATAAACTTCATTTAGCTAGCTCCACTGGTTCGCACCTGTCGATAAAATTCAGTATCAGCCGCCTATTAAAACACATGACATATTTCAAGTTTTTTCAGCCACTATTCACTCAGTATATTCTTTCATCACTGCAGTTATTTAGGCCATGCCTGGCGGTCATGAAATAGAAGCAGTGTCTTTAAAATGTCTTTGCATCATTCATGTAATTTTTTTTGGTCAGGAGCTCGAAGAAGCAAAGCAGATGTCGCGCTGCTCAGTATCGAAAGGAGGCAAGACCAGCGTTCAAAGATCCCGTCAGCTGAAGGGTCTGCCACGATTTAGCCTCTCGTGAAACAGACTTATAATAGCGACCAGCAGTGAGACAAAGCTGTCAAATGTTGTCAGAACTAGTAGGTCAAATATATATAGTATTTGCAAGGCTGGACAGCGTTGCCATCCTCGCAATTTCCTAACAATTCAAATAATGTAGCGTTTTTGCATGGACTTGTTGCCGTCAACTTAATGAGGACGATTCTTTTGTGAATGCAACAATCATATTTCGTTGATTTTTTCCCGAAATGATAATTATCTATTAATTAATCATACACTGTTTGTTAAAGGCCCAATCAAAAGTTGCTGCAAGATATGCTGAGATGAAATTAGAGTTTTCCTTTGACTGTTTTTTGACGCATAGTGCAATCTTAAAACTTTTACAGCCCAATTTCTACATCTATAGTTAAAAAAAAAATTGATGATATTTGTACCTCTTTATAGGTGGATTACGTTATAACCTGCCAGTACATATGTAACTCTTTTCTTTGAATACATTTCTTGTAGTTGATCAAATGGTCAGAATTGACCATGCACAACAGTGAACATCATTTGATTTCTAGTTACAACTAAAAGTGATACTTTACGAACTGAAATAAAGGAGAACGTTCAGGGGCGGATCCGGGAATTTCTGAAAAGGCGAGGGTGTACACTATTGAAGTAACCTTCAACACCAGTGGTGTGGAAGGCGAGTGACGGCCCAGTGGTTCTGACGCGAGCACTTAAGGAGATCCGGTGGAAGTGAAACAACTTCGGGAAAATAAAAATTTCATTTATCATTTTAGGAGGAATCAAACAAAGTAACGAAAAAAAAATGCTGCTCATACGGGGGGGGGGGTTGCACTGGCGATCCATTATAATGTACAGATATTTAGCATCAATAATGTCTGACAAGCTAATTGTTTGTGACACAGAGGAAAGCAGGTTGATCAATCAAAATTAATTGTATACGTGTATTATTAATCGCAACTAAGATATTGGGTCATTATACAAACTCTAATGGTGTTTGTTTGCCGAATCAATGGAGGCGTCTGGGAAAAATTTATCAATATTATAAATGTTTTTTCGCATCCTTAATGACTGGACGCAGGTTGTAATGTGCCTATAGCAGAAGGCGCCAAATTATTATAGATCTTTCCCGAGCTCGCGTCACTTTGTTAACATAGGCTTTTGTTTCATATTGATGACCCCCCTGAAAATTCATTACGCTATTATCTTACGAGTGTTAACTGATATTCGGTTACTAGAAGACGGTTTTCAACAATGTTCATATGAAAATGTACATATTTTGTTAGAGGAATTGAATCAAAACAACATAGTCACCTCCTCGAAATAATCGAAAGGTGGAACGGTGATTCATTGTAATCTGGATGCTTCGAAACGAGATGATTAAAGTGAGGCTCCGAAAGTTTTTTTGTATCATAATCAGCCACGTACGTTTGGAAGTCTAAACCAATAAACGCTTTTTTAATTTTTGGAAAAGCTGTGAATGTGCAGCCAAGTTAGAATAGGAATAGTACTTTAGGATTGACAGACAATATTTAAAACACTGCTCCAGCTGTGGTCCGATTCAGCTGGTGGTTAGAATTGGAGCTGAACAAGCTCAGCAATTGCTAAAGTAGACGTTGTTTTCTTTTTTACTGATGTTCGGGAACGAGAAGTTAATTTTCAGCTGTAGAATGACGAGAAACATATGAAGCAACGGTACCGTGCCATACACATTTTTTGTTTAGGTACTCGGTTTGAAATTTGCTTGAGTCAACAGTAAGAAGCTGGTTATCAAATAAAGCTGGACGAGGTTTTTTTAGTGATTAAACTGAAAATTAATTTGAAGTCAAAGTGCAAATGCTAAAAGTAAATTGAATTATGTACCGAAGTCGTACGTTGTTTCTGCGGAACCGGATGTTTTCAACATCTTTGATATAAAGTTCATGAAAATTCCTTTGTATATGTTGACATATTACATGGTCGCTTACGAACTCAATACATATAGAAGGTGGATTCAGTGGTAGTCAAAGCTTTTGCCGCAAAACAAGATGTTTCTAACAATAGAAAACTATAAAGCTTATTTGTGACGTCAGTATTTTAAGCTGGGATGTCTGAATTAGAGGAACATTTTTGTTTTTTTTTTGTTGTTGTTATCAATGTTATTTGTTCAAGAGCTGTCAATATTACTGCCAATTTTTAAGTAGAAGAAAGATTTGAAGATTAGCAGACAACTCTCTAAACATCATGTTATAGACGATCTATTAAAACTTAACAAATTAAGCAGGAGT